CTCATTCGTATGCCACAACCTACTACAATGATCACACCATGACTTCTTCCTCCTGCATCGATGTCAGTCCTTTTGGAAACTAGAGCTGAACTCTTTGGTTCCAAATTCTTGCTTTGTGTTGAGCCAAGTAGCAAAATCTTCTTCCTGTTTTCCTCCTGTCTAACTTTTGAAAACAACTCACAGATGGAAGGTAGAGGTTTTCGCCCAAGATTCCTTTATTTCATCTCATCCAAGCTTTGGTTAACACCTGCAAGAAACATATAGACGTTGTCATTTTCTTCCCGCTTCATAAATCTTGTACAATCATTGGGATTTTCCCATACATTATCATAGCATTGATCTAGCTCCTACCACAAGGTCACCATATCATTGTAATAAATAGTAACCTCACAATCCCCTTGTTTAGATTGCAAAAGTTTTGACGTTAGCTTAAAGATTTGGGATGAATTTTCCAAGTCCAAGTATGTTTCTTGAACTGAATCCCATACATCCTTTGCTGTTGAAAAAAACATGTTTGTTTTTGCAATAGTTGTCTCCATAGAATTGAGTAGCCAAGCTATGACCAACGAGTTCTCTGATCTCCATGTCCTAAACTGAGCATTATATTCAGCATGTTTCTTGATTTCTCCAGTCAAGTATCCTAGCTTTCCTCTCCCATCAATGGCTAGTTTGACGGTCTGCGACCACTCCATGTAATTTTTATTGTTCAACTTGTGAACATTAATTTGCAGAGAAGAGTTTGCAGATGAGTAATCAACACTACCTATCGTGGAGGAAGAATTCACTGACGTGGTGTCAACTGAAGTTGTGGTAGATCCGGTCATTGCCGTTTTCATCATTGCTGTCTTTACCATCGAAAGCTAGGATTTCGAGCTTCTGTGGCCTGGCGAGAAGTCAGGCAAGGCTTAATGCCTTTCTGATCGCTGGTTGCACCTCATTCCCATCCTATTTGAGTGAGTTCTTTTCATTCTCTCGATAGGTTTGAGAGCGCAGAGGGAGACCAGAGGTTTGGAACCTTGAGCCTAAGGCCTTGGTACTCTACTCACTGCATTAGCGGAAGGATGCTGCCAAAAAGAATGAAACACTGTTAACCTGCGGCAATGTCTCTTGAGCTTCCTGAGCTGCCCCCATCCCGGGCTGCTCATTTACCCCATTTCATCCACTAAAGGGAGATCCATTTTAGGTTCTATCAATTTTATAACAACTATTTCCAACATGCGTGGACCTGGAATGACTATGCATAGATCATCCCTATTTGTTTGGTCTGTTCTGGTGATAGCATTCCCACTTTTATTATCACTTCCGTTGGCTCTGATACCATGTAAGATCTGGAAGAAAAATGTGTAAAATCTGGAAAAAAAATATTTCCATTTTTTCTCAAATAATAACATCAGAACTACATTAATAAATAGGATAACTTGGTATCCTTGTGATCAAAACTAACTAGCTGAATAATAGGAATTAATCTAAATCTGATATTTGAATCCTAAACCAGAGGATCAAATTTTTATTTACAAATAGAAAGATAAAACAAATCCTAACAACTTTTCCCATTTTTCTGACACTAACTATAAAACTGAACGGGAATCGAACCAATTGGCCCCAGTCCGATCCAATCCTTTATATTAAAAAATTAAAAAAGGTCTTGTTAAGAGGAGTAACCCAATTCTTTATATGTTGGTCTGTATTTCGATATTTAACTGATGTGGGATTATATCCCTTAACATGTCCCGCAAGATGGTGTCTCTTTTAAGTAGATCAATTTTGAAATTTGTATGCTCATTTTTTGAGTCTTGAATGGATTGAATTGCTTGTTGGAGTTTAATAGGCTCTGATACCATGTTAAGACTCAAGATTCCATATTATAAGGTCAACCTTATGAAGAGAAGTAGCCCAAACCTTTATAAATTCGTCTATAATTTCACCTCTAATCGCTGTTGAATTTTATCCCTTAACATGTCCATGCAAGAGGTTAGCTCATTTGAACGGACCAATATTGAAATCAGTATGCTCATTTTTGAGTCTTAATTGGATCAAATCGCTAGTTAGAGCTTAATGGGCTCTAATACCATGTTAAGATTTAGAATTTCATCTTAGAAGGTCAAACTTTTGAAGAGAAGTAGTCCAATTCTTTATATGTTGGTCTATATTTCGGTATTTAATTGATGTGGATTAGATTCCTTAACAACTATGTGGTGTAATCTTTTGTTCTTTACTGTTGAAGGAAAAGGACAATGCCTGGGAGAATATTGATATTAATTAGCGGGAAGGAGGGCTATCACAAGTAAATATGATTTGAATATTACAAGGTGTTAAAGAATATGGATGATTGATGTATTTGCATGCTCACAAGGTGTTAAAGAATCTGCTAAGAAAATTCATGAAGAACAACGGGATTATGGAAATGAAAAGCTTACCAGATTGTTAAATTGCGACTCAAATTAGGATTCTTTGGAAGTGGCAGACAAAAGGAAAGGGAATCAAAGTTGTATTTTGCAAATTAAGGAAAGAAAATCTTATTGGAGCCATGTGGAAATATTAAAGAATCAAATTGGAATCAATTCGAAAGAAATAGGGAAAGTGGCATGTTCCCTGTTCACATGTCTTGGCAGATTTTTTTTTCTCTTTTTTCGTTGTTTACACGTTTCCTTTTTCTTAATTTCCATCTTTTGCCAATTCCTAGGACTAGACTCCTGTACTATAAATTAGGACTCCTCTTTCAATATTGTTGAAGTCAATTGCTGTAATTCTCTCCTTTCATAGTGATTGAATAAAATAATATCGTTTCTCTGCCAATTTCCTTTTATTTTACATCTTTTACTTTAATCTTATTCTTGGTTATTTTGTGATCTTTATTTATACTTCATATTGGCTTCATCAAATCTCAATTCTTGTGTTGTCTTCATTGGTCCCAACAAGTGGTATTCGAGCAGGGTTGCAAGTTCTTCGTGATTTGATTGAGATTTTTAGAAATGGCTTCGATGAAGTATGATATTTGGCTGCTAGATCGCAATACAAGGTTTTTGCTTTGGCAAGTAAAGATGAGGACTATGTTGACGCTGATGAAACTTGATGATGTTTTGCTAGGTTTTGAGAAGATGCCAGCAAATTGGTCTATGGAGGAGAAGCAACGGAAGGATAGGAAGGCTACATCATTGACTCATTTTCATTTGTCCAACAATATACTGCAGGATGTCTTGAAGGAGAAGACAACGACTGCTTTGTGGCTCAAGTTGGAGCAGTTGTGTATAACAAAGAGTCTGACGAGCAAACTGACTCTAAAGCAAAAGTTGTATTCCCATCGCATTGCGGAAGGAGGGTCACTGCAGGACCACCTTGCCGGGTTCAAGGAGATTGTTACAGATCTGGAGACGTTGGAGGTAAAATATGATAAAGAGGATCTTGCCTTGATCCTGTTGTGTTCGCTACCCAATTTTTTTCATCGTTTCGTGATATATTCTGTATAGTCATGACACGCTTACCATTGAGGAGGTATATGAAGCCCTGCTCTCAAAGGAGATGATGGAGCTATTGGTTGGACATCCGACATCTAAGGGTGGAGATGCTCTTGTTACTCATGGTGATCGATGGAGGGATAGATCGAAGGTGAGGTACAGCAATGTGTAATTTTATTACTACAAGAAGAAAGGACATATCAAGAAAGATTGTGGCAAGTTGTAGGGTAAAGGTAATTTACATGCAAATCATTCAGGGCAATCTTGTAATTCGGACAAAACCAATGTAGTTGAAAATTTTTCTGATGATAGAGATATGATGTTGGCTATATCTGATGAGGAATCCAAAATAGAGGAGTGGATTCTAGATTCTGCATGGTCGTATCATATGTGTCCTAAAAGGGCGTTATTCTAGACATATGAGGCGGTGAAGCAACGTGGAGTTGTCATGGGAATCAACCAATCTTGTCGGGTTACAGAAATCGGTCGGGTCAGATTGAGGCTACAAGATGGGACAGTGAGGACACTTGATCAGGTTCTCCATATTCCAGACTTGACAAAGAATCTCATATCGTTGAGTACTCTGGATACAAAAGGGTATAAATTTTCTGGTGGAGGTGGAGTCCTGAAGGTTCAGAAAGGTGTTCGGGTTGTACTGGAGGAACGGATGAGATCCCGGTTGTACATTTTGTAGGGAAGCGCAGAACCAGTTCAGAAACATTTAGTCAAGTTTAGTACCGTGGTGAAAATTCAGCTTGGTACATTACCTCTTATGTTAGGCTCTTGGTCAATTTCGAACTTTGCTCGTGGGAGTGTTGGTGATTCTGCTTTGCCACCAATTTCAGCAAATACACTTTGTTCTTGTGCTAGTGGACTCATAGAGCATAGGTTTAGTGGTGTCAATAATTTCTGTAATGCTTTAGGGATTGTTGAAGGTGACAGTTCGAGCAAGGGGCCTTCTAATCGTACATTTGGTGTGGTTTCTACTACAGGGTGTGCTTCGACCCTGTCTAATGATTATTAATTCCAGGTGAAATTTTGAGAACTCGGGTTTAGGTTCGGTTGTGGACGCGGGCGGGGGAACATGTTTTCGTGGAGAGTTTGGTTATTGTGTTGAGGAGCTTGGTTATTCTGATGTAGACGGATCATTTCTCACAATGGAGAAATTTGGAGCTTCATTCGTTGCATCAGAATTTGAGTCAAGGTGAAGATTGTTAAATTGTGACTCAAATTAGGAGTCTTTGGAAGTGGCAGACAAAAGAAAAGGGAATCAAAGTTGTATTTTGCAAATTAAGGAAAGAAAATCTTATTGGAGCCATGTGGAAATATGAAAGAATCAAATTGGAATCAATTCAAAGAAATAGGGAAAGTGGCGTGTTCCTTGTTCATGTGTCTCGACAGATTTTGTCTCTTTTTTCTTTGTTTACACGTTTCCTTTTTTCTTAATTTCCATCTTTTTCCAATTCCTAGGACTAGACTAGTCTACTATAAATATAGGACACCTCTTTCAATATTGTTGAAGCCAATGGCTGTTATTCTCTCATTTCATAGTGATTGAATAAAATAACATCGTTTCTCTGCCAGTTCCCTTTTATTTTGCATCTTTTATTTTAATCTTGTTTTTGGTTATTTTGTGATCTTTATTTATACTTCATATTGGGTTCATCAAATCTCAATTCTTGCGTTATCTTCATCGGTCCCAACAAGACTTAATCTCTAACTATTAAACAGAGCATTAGTTTTTGCCGGTATACTACAATTCTTTAAAAAATTTGCTTTTCACATATTTGATTAGATTTTTGAGCAATTAATTTTTCTTGCAGGGGAATACCTTTTGTGGCACTCAGAATCACTTCAGATGGTAATAAGAGACAATCTCTTCTTTTAATCTCTTTGGCGTTCTATGTACTGTGTGTATTATTGAAATGAAACATCAAATAATTTCTATTGTATCTTACCCTTGTTTTGAAATTAGAGGTTTGTTCTATTTCATTAACTGATGATGATATTTTTCGAATCCCATCTTTTTGGACATTGATTCTCTACTACGTGAGCATTTTACAATACTTGACCATTTTGAAACATGCTGGTCTAATACAGATCACCTCAAAAGGGACTCGAGAACTCATATATTGCGAGGAAAATGTAAAATATATGAATCTTTTATAAACATTGCTGCCTTGCAGAATTCGAATTGTGTTAGAAATATATTTTAATCAGTAAAATTAAGGTCAAAGATGATTTATAAATTAATTTTCAAATTATTACAATCTATTTGAGGGTTAAAATTTTCTTACTTTTTTATATCAGAGGGATGGATTTTTTTGCATCTATCCATCAATATTATGGCATATGGAAATAGTCCAAACAACATCTTTATGCTTAACAAAAACAAAATATTCTGGATTTCTAGTCCAGATAACAATCTTTATGCTTAACATGATTTCTTCCAACATATTTAGATTTCCCAGCTATTAAATTTCAATCACAAGAAGATAAAACAAGCTACTGTTGAATGGATTTGTCATGTCGTAATGAAGGAAAACATGTGGGTAATTACATTTTCAGATAGCATTTACAAGCAACGAGAATAAGTTGTGTTAAATTTCCTTGTTGCTAATTTTTTGGCGTAATGACTTTTCTGAGAACAGAACATTTCTGATGTTTGCTTGTAAGTTGTAATGGAACTCAACCTTATGTTAGACTCGTTGGCCCCTTTTATCCTTATTCAGCTCCCATTGATCTTTGTAATTTCCAGAATTGATCGAGCCCCAGTATGTGATTCATTCGAGTCAAATTTAGCACCTCCTAACATTGGTACTGTGTTCATTCTTTAAATAAAATTCTCTCCCTTAAAACGATTTTATCGAAAAATAGATTTTAATTTCATGGGTGATATATACTCCCCTGTTGTCTCTTCTGGTCGAGAAAAAAGAGAAAAATGGAACACGAAGAGGCAGAGGCAGAGGCAGAGAGAGGTGCAAATTCTGCTAGACTTCTTACACAGCTTAAGGGAAAAATGTTAATGAGCTCAACGAGGTTTGCAATAAGATCATTGAAAGAGATCACTTGATTATGACATAGCTGTCTGCTATTTATATATGGTAATGCTTGCAGTTTCTTTTTTCTCTAAACTTATTTGTTTGGGGGTTACTTGAGAGTGAAACTTTCTGAACCCCCTATTTTTTATTGTGGTTTTTAGGCGTTGGATAATGGTTATGGATGTATGTTTATCTTGTAGGGAATGAGCTATGAAGATGAGAAGCCTGTGCAGGTGGGGTGATTATGGTGAAGGTAGTCGGTTTGGGTTGGTGAAGGCAGTCGGTTAGGGTTGATGAAAGCAGCCTGTACTACCACTTGTTCATTATAAACAAGCAAGCATTCATCCTTTTTTTTTTCCCGGAAAATGAGACCCCTCATTTGTTTGTGGTTTTTAGGCATTGGATTATGGTTACGGGTGTATGTTTATGTTGTAGGGATTGGGCTGTGTAGGGTTGATTTCCACCGTCACCACGTGTAAAATCGGGCTCAGTTTACTACAACATTGACACTAACACCGTTGAGACAACTCCAACACCACCACTTGCCGCCCCCACTCCGGTTGCTACCGATTTGAGAAGGAGAAACCCAATAATGTGCCCACAAAAGGTTAACCACAAAGGTCACGTTGAGGGAGAGGGAGAGGCCGAGAGGGGGACTCACAAAGAGAAAGGGAAAATCGCACACCATGGAGGTCGAGACAAAGAGAGGGATTATATGCCAAGTAAAATGTCCAAATAGGTAAGTTAGGTTAGGGTTAAGTGGTGGACCAACAAACAAGGCTCGACTCAATTAAGTGGGCTTCAACAATAATAATATAGCCTTCCAAGGAATGGAGCGAGAACCGTGAGCAACACTATAAAAATAGGTTGCTTCGAACAGTCCATAATAAAGTGGATTGTGTTGTCTCGATAATTGTGTGGATGTACTGATCAATCATTTGGCCGAGGCCGATTAATAATAAACAACCGAGATTACATCATCGCTCAGGGAGGTCGTTTGACAACAAAATTGCCTAACAACCTCCACCTTGGTGTCAAAGGACCTACAAAGAAAATTGTCTCCCATTAGTGACACTTCTAATAGAAAAACAATAAAATTGGAAATTATTTACCTGTACCAATGTTTAGGAGTTCCTTGCAACTCCTAAACTTTGCCAGTGGCAGTACCTTCGTCCCCATATCAGATGGG